GAGAGAGAGAGAGAGAGAGAGAGAGAGAGAGAGAAGGAAAGTGAGAAATCACCACCCAGAGGGGATGGCCATGACAATCCTTTTTCCTCCATTCCATTTTTGAGACATGAGGCATACATACATACATACACACCCAACATGATTTTCAATCTGCCGGGTCCAGGACCCACTTTAACCACCACCCCATCAACTGGCCTAAGACTGAGTATCTTCAGCTTGGAACCACTGTGTCAGTGGATCCAGGCCAGAAGCAGCCTGAACTCTGGGGTCCAAATCCCAGGGACAGGAGCAATTTGGGGATCAGTGAGGTTGCACTGGCAAAGTTAGGCTCCCAACTCTTTCTGTCTCCAGAAGCCCAGGGAAACCCAAGGTGTCAGGACACAGCTTTCCCTGCCTAATCCCTTCCTGGCAAGACAGACACTGGATCTGGCCTGGCAAGTGCTCTCAAAGAAGAGAATCTTCGGGTCCAGCAGCTAATGTAATGGCTATGTTGCTGGACTCCCATGTAGTCGACCGCGGTTCGAGTCCCAGACCCGGTGGCTTAAAACTCACGCCGGCCGCGTGTGCGTGCGTGTCCAAGATCCCAGGAGGAGAATGGAGGAGAAGGGATTTTTGCATGGCCATCCCCCCTGGGGGGTAATTTCTGGCTTTCTGTCTCTCTGTCTGGCGAGCGCATGCGCCCTATAGCAAAAAACCCCTCCAAAAAAAAAAAAAAAAAGTAGAGCTAAGGCCAGCAGGTGGTGTGGTAGTTACGGTTGCTGCACTCCCCCATGGCCAGCCACGGTTCGAGTCCCAGACCTGGCATCTTGCTTTCTCACGTTCTCTCTCCCTTTCTGGTCAAATTAAAATAAAGTTAAATTAAAAAATTCTTTTTGAAAACAATGTAGACCTTTTACCCAGGAGGAGAGCTTTCCCAGAGGAGAATGGAGAAGGGATTGCAGCATGGCCATTTCTCCCTGAGGGGTGACTTCTTGCTTTTCCCCTCACTGTCTCTGTCTCTCTTACGCAAAGAGCATAAGCCGGAAGGTAATAAAACAAAACAAACTCTAAATAAACAAGTTGGGGACTGGCAGGGGCAGGCGGCATGGTGGGTAAGGCACTGGACTCCCACATGGGGAACCAAAGGTCAAGTCCCAGACCTGGGGACTTGCTTTCTCACTTTCCCTCCCTGTCTGTCTCTCTCTGGTCAAATGGAAGAAAAATAAGGAAAATTAAATATAATTTAAAAAAAAAGGGGGGGTCAGCAGGTGGTGTAGCATTTTTGTCGCTGGACGAGCTCAGTTCCAGTCCTGGAACCCTTGACTTGAATGTCACTCCAAGTGCGGAGAACACACACCCTAAGGCACAAACCTCTTAAAACAAACAAAAATATAGAGCCAAGGTGAAGGGCCCCACAAAGGGCAGGTTAAAGTGGCAACTCGTATGGCTTTGTACTTGTGGGCGATCAGGAACCAAAAAGACACTGCGCACCGAGGCCTGGATCGTGCCACCCCGAGAAGTCCCAGCCTTCTCCCGCTGGGTGTCGAGACGCGCCCGAAATGTGGGAGGTGCTTGTGCAGGTTAATTGCAGACGGCTCATTAGCATATATTTACATAGGCCACACCTCCCCCCCCCCCCCAACCC